GACTGAAATTATCACCGGCGATCCATATTTATTAGGTATTTGGTTTCCGGAATGACACGACTTAGATAGCAGATGTTTTACAATGACATTGAGTGCTCTAACTTGCCAAGCTTATTGTCGAGTTATTCACGAGTTATTGCTCAGTCCCGAAAAGCTTGGCTCTTCACATACTCGAGTTGAGTAGAATGATGAAGCATCCTGAGTTTTTGACTTCTTTGGTATTGCGAGCGTTCGTTGAAAATTAACTTCTTGAAGTCATGCACATTAACTTCAAACTTGACTTTTTAATGTATTCAAAAATCTCTACATCTAATGATGCTCGTTGTTTATATAGTTCAGTACCCGTTGACAAAATAACATAAATAGAAAACCATTCAGTCCCATTGTTCTCGAATGTCAGAAATATTTCTGCCGGGGTAAAAATCGAGATTTGCAGCAGCATTTATTGAGCAAGTCGGAGATTCTTGTGCGCTGTCGTTATTTGATAGGAACAACATTCCCATCGCCGGGCAAGCAGAGAAGCCTTCTCAATCAGGCGAGTAATTTCAACTATTCGTGAAGTTTGTGCAAGGGCGCAGCTGATATTGCCTCGTGTTGAATGGCGATGAAAGGCGTTGTTGAAGGGCGTTGGACAACGAAATTGAACCGTGAAGTTGAACAGCGATGTTGAAAGCCCTCCGAGTACACGGAAATCGGCACGAGTTATGGGTTAGTTACCGACGACTGTATTTAGTTATGTATATATGATCGTTTGTGTTACTAACGACCGATATGTGCAAGTTACAACCAACCATGCATTATGCGTTAGATTCATATTGCCATTACGTTTTAGTTACAAATAACCGTTAAATGTTAGTTGCATTCGACCATTATATTTTAATTACTAGCAGCCATCATGTGCCAGTTGGAAACGGCCGTTGTATAAAAGTTCAAATAACAGCGACGTGTTTATAGTTACGAACGAAAGTTTTGTGTTAGTTACGAACGAAAATTTTGGGTTAGTTACGAACGAACGTTTTGTGTTAGTTACGAACGAACGTTTTGTGTTAGTTACGAACGAAAATAAATTTGTGTTAGTTACAAATGAACAGTTTGTGTTAGTTTCGACCTAACTTTTGTGTTAGTTACGAACGAACGTTTTGTGTTAGTCACGAACGAACATTTTGTGTTAGTTACGAACGAACGTTTTGTGTTAGTTACGAACGAACGTTATGTGTTAGTTACGAACGAACTTTTTGTGTTAGTTACGAACGAACTTTTTGTGTTAGTTTTATGTTGAGAGTCGTTCAACTAATGATAATCATTTCTATTATGCCAAATAAATTTTATTATCAGAGCAGTGTAAATTTTTACTTCAGTGAATAATTGAAGGGAGATTCAAATCGTCAACTTTTTTATTGTAGGTTTTAATTGTGTCCGGTGCTTAAACGATGCCCATCGTTATATTAAACGATGCGCTTAAATCCAAATTTTTACATACCTAAATAAAATTATAGTCACACTCATGATATACAATTCTCGATGTTGTCGTTCGAAATCTATAACTTGCCGAGCAAATATCTACTGTGCGTATGATGAGAAAAATGTACAGAATTGTGTGCAAATCAAACATTTAAAAATTCAAGGTAATATATATGATCATCATTCATAATGACTAGCTAAGCTCCATCATTGCACTTGATATGTTTCACCTTCGCTTATAATGACCGAGCTTTAGGGCACATGATAAGTTTCATCATCTCTCATATTATGTCCAAGCTTCATCCTTGCACTTGATAAGTTTCATCCTCGCTTATAATGGCCAAGCTTCATCCATGCACTTGATATGTTTCATCCTCGCTTATAATGGCCAAGCTTCATCCATGCACTTGATAAATTTCATCCTCGCTTATAATGACCAAGCTTCATCCTTGCACTTGATATGTTTCATCCTCGCTTATAATGACCAAGCTTCATAGCACATGATAAGTTTCAGCACCGCTCATATTATGTCCAAGCTTTATCTTTGCACTTGATAAGTTTCATCCTCGCTTATAATGACCAAGCTTCATAGCAGATGATAAGTTTCATCATCGCTCATACTATGTCCAAGCTTCATCCATGCACTTGATATGTTTTGTCATCGCTTATTATGTCCAAGCTTCATAGCACTTGATATGTTTCATCCTCGCTTATAATGACCAAGCTTCATAGCACATGATAAGTTTCATCATCGCTCATATTATGTCCAAGCTTCATCCTTGCACCTAATGAGATTCAGGAATCCTGTAGCGTGTAGCAGTTGCGTGTAGAGGAGCGACGTGAGAGTTCTAATAGAGCCCAGAATTGGTCCAAATCTCGCTCATATAAGGACAAACTAAATCACCCCTGCGATTGGTTCTTTGGGCAGTGACAAGTAAATTGCAGCTATCGAGGGTCATGTAGAAAGCCTTGCAGATGCTGAACTTCCCTAACCCTTTGTTGTGCGCCAAGTCAAGGGGGTGTTTAGAGAACAAAAGTCTGATTTCGTTATTACAGAATATTATGAGTTGGCAGCTGAGCTTTGTGAATAGCAGTCTATTTAATTTCAATAATTTTTACTAAAAGGAACGTCCATAAGATTTTATTCTATGCCATGAAATGGAAAAAGTTGAACGTGCAGGGGCCAAGTAATATCTGTTAATTACAGCATTTCTATTGAATTTAAATTGTAAAATCAATAGATTATTAAGAAGATTAGAAAAAATATTTATAGATAATTAAGTGACGAATAAACATCAAGGTTCAACAATACAACTCAAAAATTGATTCAGTTCCGTTCTGTTTCGTCACAAAGGAAACAGCATGACGTCGATAACATATGGACGTTTAGATTGCTTCCTCAGTGTTCAAAGTTTACGGGTTAGATGCGACAGAAATATCGATACGATATGCTAATATGCACGAGTGCACATTTCCGGTACATGAGTACTGAAATTGCATCGCGTGCATTACGCTTTCTGTGCTACTATATAAAGTGCAGGCTTTTTAGTATCAACGCGTGAGAAAAATTGAAAGAAATCTTATGAAATGTCCTTCTTTTTGTAGCAAACTGAAATTTTTCATGCGTTCCTTAACTGACGGAAATAGGAAAAAATTGAAAATAAGATTATTTACGCATAATACAATTAATAATTTCTCGGTAGGAAAATTTAAGTGATTTGCCTGAAAAAACATGTTCCTAATAATATACAAGTCAGCCTTAATTTTTGTTATCCTGCTAATATCCTCACGGCTTATGGCTGTTCAACAATATTTTTAGCAATATTGCATTAAATGTAATGGAATTGATTATTAAACGTTCCCAGTAACGCTCCCACGTGCCCAGGAAATTTTAAAATCCGTTCGATTTCTAAGTTGCTGTCTCTTATCCAATCGTACAACGGAACAAAAGCTCTCGTTGCAGCTGGAGGTTTCTTTTTATCGTGCTCATTCAATTTTACGAACGATTGCTATCCTTTATGATTGTATCAATCGGTCTTTTATGGTCTTTGTTCCAGGGTATTGATTGATTTCCATGTGTTTGTTTGCTTGCCCATCCGCCTTCAACTCGCCCATGTTCTCCCCAGCTCGCGATTTTTACCCCAGTTTGCACCGCTACGCTGCAGTGCTGGACGCTCAACAATGCAATAATAAATAGTAAAAAATGTTTTTTATACCATGGCGTAGTGAAATACGGGGTATTTTTTCTTTACATTAGGGATATTTTACACATGTTTATTGCCGCGTGACGAGGATTGTTCCTAATCTTTGTTCGTAGCTAAATGCAAATTTTTTCGTCTTTCGTATGCACTGCCAGTCACATTTACAATGTTTTCTTCTGTGTGAAGTAAACAAACAAATCATAGATTTTTTTTCACCTACATAGAAGAACACAAGTTTTTGTTCAACTTTGACGCGCTAGTAAATTATTTGGTTCATAATGAAATAGTCCATGTGAACTATCAATCAGAGTACTGGACTAATATTTTAAAATATTTTGAAATGGATCACAATATTCCAGAATTTTCTCACGGGAACATTTTCTACACAAGCGTTTCAGGTCGCTGAAGCCGCGTATAAGTTATGCATCATAAGTTGGAATTTAACAATGCCCAGTCCAAACCACGCATTATTCTTCGTGTGTCATCACAATAAAATATTTATTTATACATATTTTAGAATTTTGTCTTTCTCTGTATTCTACCTGATATTCGCTAACGAATGCTGGAGATGCGGGAATTATTGTACTTCGCGTCAAAATGCAGAAAACCGAATACATATTTTATTTATGTATGACAATTGCTTTGTAACTCATCATGATTGTCATTGCACAATGAGATTCGTAATTTTTTTAATTAACTCATAAAAAACATTGAAATCTCGTTGCTTGTTTTCGCTACCACAATCTTGCGTGCTAAAATAAATTTTAATATCCATGTCATCATTTATAATTAATAGAAATATGGAAAAAATAGATGTACGTTTTGGTCATGGAATTCAAATAACTTATCAAATTTTGCAGTCGCTCGGGAAAAAATTAAATTTTATTATTTTTTTTTAAATCTTCCTCTATATAAATTGGCTTCACTCGAAAGTTTTTAACGCAAAATTTATAACGTTTTTCCTCTCCAAAATATACACTCTATTATCTGCAATGCTACATTTTCAATTTCCCTTGTTTATACTCACGATCAAATTTTTTCTTGCGGCGTGATTTTTGGTGTGTCTTCTTTAGGTATTGGGTTTTTATATTCAGTGATATTTTTCACTCCATTTACATTTTATTATTTCCTATAATTAAGTTCATGCCTATTGTATTATTTACTATACCTAATTCTTGCCCTATACTCCTTCGCTCTGCTATCACTTCCCCTTTCGACTCCTTACCCTTATCTTCTCGCTCAAAAATTTCCTCCGACATTCGGGCATGTGTTTTTGGTTCTCAACACTAACCTCTGATCACGAGTTTATCCGCCGTACTGTTGTGTGCTTACCCACAGCTCCAGACCCGGCCGTCCCCCTAAACGAGCCTCAGACTTCATGGCTATGACTCCTACACACGATGCTTTCTACGATCTTAAGAAGCGACATCTCGACTCTGTAGGCGCGGGACAGCCAGGCCTCCTACATGGACTTAACGGCTGCTCGCCCCCAGGCATGCCCAACGGGGGCACCGGCTCAATCAATGGTGTCAATGGGATGTTCGCTAATGGACATTTAGGTGAGTTCTCTTTTATTTCAGTGTAATATAAGTAAACTCTGAGGTGAGTGTGAATTCTCTTTTATTTCAGTTTATTTTAGGGTGGCCCAGTGGTTACAGTTCAGAGTACCAAGATTGGGGCAGAGAGGCGCGGGTTCGATCCCAGCTCTGTGCGCCAGTTTCTGGTCAGAATCGGCGAGGAGGCCGGGCGGTTAAGCACAGTAGAATTGTAGCAGTGAGTTGTGCGTTCGAGACCGCAAAATGCTGTGAATGTTCTGCGATGTTAAGAATCGGCGACAGGCCTACGGCCTAATAAACGCTAAAACCGCTATTATTTTATTATTTAATATAAGTAAACGCTGAGGTGAGAGTGAGTTCGCTTTTATTTTAATTTAATAGAAGTAAACGCTGAGGTGAGTGCAAGTTCGCTTTTATTTCAGTTTAATATAAGTAAACGCTGAGGTGAGTGTGAGTTCGCTTTTATTTCAGTATAATATAAGTAAACGCTGAGCTGAGTATGAGTTCGCTTTTATTTCAGTTTAATTAATATAAGTAAACGCTGAGGTGAGTGTGAGTTCACTTTTATTTCAGTTTAATTAATATAAGTAAACGCTGAGGTGAGTGTGAGTTCACTTTTATTTCAGTTTAATTAATATAAGTAAACGCTGAGGTGAGTGTGAGTTCACTTTTATTTCAGTTTAATATAAGTAAACGCTGAGGTGAGTATGAGTTCGCTTTTATTTCAGTTTAATTAATATAAGTAAACGCTGAGGTGAGTGGAGTTCTCTTTAATTTCAGTTTAACATAAGTAAACGCTGAAGTGAGAGTGAGTTCACTTTTTTCAGTTAAATAAAATTAAACGCTGGGGTGAGAGTGACTTCGCTTTTATTTCAGCTTATTATGACTAAATGCTAAGGTGAATGTAAGTATATGTTGAGGGAGGGAAAGCACTTTCGCAGGTGAGTCAAATCAATTGTACATTAAGTTACTTTTATTTCCAATGTATTTAAAGTGCAATACTCTTGTTCTTAGTCTTGATTATCATTTTTATATTATACTTTTGGGGCAGACAAGGGTTTTAGTTGGTTAGTCTTCGCGTTAAACTATATTTTCCCCCGCATTGTTATGTGAATGGCATGAATTAATGTACGTACGTTGGAATTCCAGACATACGAAATTCAATTGAATCTTGGTCGATTAAAAAACTAGTGAATTATGAGTTTCGAAAAGTCAACAGTACTCATAAGCGAATTTTATTTTCGCGTATGCTAGTCACACATGGAAATTTGGTTACCACAGAACGGGAAACAGTCTGTTATGACCGGAAACGTTGGATTATCGCTGGGAATTCATAATAAATTAAGCATTCATTCACGGCTGCAGAACTTCGCTGAACATCTGACGCGGTGTCCATTTGAAGTAACAGCATAAACTAAATGCTAAAGTACGTGACTGAACAATCCCGGTAATATGTTGAGATGAGGGCAGACTGATCGAAAACTGCAGTTATGTATATATTGTAGCGAACATTGATTGCGCTCTGTGCACTTTGTATTTTGAAGAGTACAAAACGTTTGCTGAATTGAAACTCCAGCAAATTAATTTCGTAAAACGAAGAAACGCTATCAAATTTAACTGAATTGTATTGATTGATTTCAAGTACGAATGAAAAAATATCTTGTTATATAGGCACATTCTGATGCATAGCGCGAGAAATCTTGCAGACTTTCAGACCGAAAAAAGTTAGTTGAATAGTTCAAAAATGAAAAATAAAAACAATAATGAAACAGTAGCTCGGCTGAATAATTTCGATGGATTATTGAGTTCGGTTTTAATAATTATTCAGCGGTACGGTTGTGGATCAAAATCATTGGTTCCGTGGCAACCAAACATCGATATGGGATTTTAAACTTTTTTTAAACATTTCAAGCTGCTGCAGTGATAATTACTTCAGTTTTGACTTTTATGGTTGACTTGCAAGCTGCTGATGATCGTAAGAGAGGCAGCGGTTCGGTGTTTTAATGGTTATGTCTGCTCGTTGCAATCAGGGGCCATACTTTCAAAACTCGCTAAGTTTACGTAAGTACTTACGCTTTATTTTCTTGTCTATGATTGGTGGATTTTGCTTGAAAGGCCATCAATGATTGGCTGATGAACTTACGATCTCTTAACTTTTTTTGAAAGTATAGGCCCTGGAGTCTTAGCCAAGAGTTATAATTACGCCAACGCATCAACTATCAATTCTAGTACAATCAATTGCAAGCTCAATAATTTATTGATGAGTGTTGTTACGAAGCCATTTTGGAAAGTCATTTACTGAATTAGATTTTTAAAATTGGATTATGAATTGAAATTTCATGAGTGAGAACACTTCCGAGGGTTTATGTTCGCTTTTGGTGTACGTGACTCTATTGTTAAATTCAAGCAAATGTCATTGCGGAATATATCTTCTGTACAAAATATTAATTGGATATTTTTAGAAATCCACCCTGATTCCTGAAATAAATATTCCAGCTTCGTTGCTGTAGCTTGTGTTTCTCCCAAATTATTTATGTTATCAGTTGGCTCTGATAATTAATAAAGACCAATTTAAAACATTTTTTACAAATAGGTTAATGAATTACGATATTTAAGCCCCGAATTATTTCATTTTTTTGTTTATTGGTTTAAAAATAATATATACCAATGATTTCATGTTGATTTCGCCTGCTGCTGTCAGTTCAAAAAGAACGAAATGTTCGCGCTATAAAGCACTATTATCTCTTGAGAATATGATTGTTTTCCGGTGTTTTATTCGAAATAAATGCTAATTGAGTGGCAATTTACACCAATCATTTGTAAGTTATTCCATCTGCTTTTGACAGTTCAAAGGGTTCAGAGCTGCACGCGGCTATTTGATATAATTAGTGCAGCAATAAAACACTGCTAGTGAGTTTGTTGCCGACACTTCTAACTAGTTTTCCGCTTATTTTATTGGGTGCTAATCCATTGGTCTTACTATGTGAATTACTAGGTGACTATGTGTATGAATACGAATGTGGTTCTTTATTTTTATCAGCTGCTAGACGATAATATTGAGTAATTGTTTTAATTCAGATTGTATTCTAACTTCGCACAATTCGTCTTCTTGGAAATTGAAACATAAAAATTAAGATTTAAATATTGAGAGACATGATCGAATTCTTTAGAGTTTTGTTTATGTAAGACAATGTTATTTAAACAAGATTTTGGAGATGGTTATCAAGTTTCTAAAACTTAATTAAATAAAAATACTTTACTTGCATCAAATGACACTTAACCTTTTTTTAAATTTAAATATAATGCTCAGAACCATGGATATTTTACGCTGAATATTTAATTGAGGAATAATATAATTCTTTGTTGAATTTGAATAGCTGAAGAAATTACATTAAATCTATCGGCTATTTAAGGGGTTCCGTAACTAATACCTGGAATTTATGTGAAATCTTTCACGTTCATATTAAAATTCTTGTTTATTCCACGTACTAACGCACAGAATTCATTTCAATATTAACTTCATTTTTACGAAATATTTTACTCATATTTCCCTCACTGCTCGTCTATTAAGTGCCTCGAGTGCCCTAATATCCCAATTTACAATAAATAGGATCATTGATGGACCCTCCACCCTGGTGGCCAATTACAGCATCTTTATAAAGGCAATATCTGACTGAAAAATCCCAATCAGATTTATTGCGGGCTTCACGATCGCTTCAACTCGTGCTTCAATTATTGCCTTGTGCTCACTTCTGCGTGAAGCTTGTAATGTAGTTACGAAAAAATTCATAGAAAAAAAAACAGAAAAAGCGTCAACTTGATTTATAAAAAAATTTAAAGTATCGATGACTTGATTTATAAAAAATTTAAAGTATCGAAGTTTCTTTAGAAATGACCAAGTTGGATCAATAATTGTGGGAATATACTGCAATATTTTTTTAAGATGACACTGTTCAATTATTAAAAAAAATGTAGGAGTAATCACGAAAGGCAAAATTTGAAGCACAATTAAAGTAGTAGGTAATCTTTTATTTGTTTTTGTATGAACTAGAGGCGGTGCATTAAACTTTATTCAAAGCGTTCCTGGACTAACGCGACTAAAATTACTAATTAATTCAAAATAATCACAGCCAAAAAAAATTATTTGTACGAAAAAATCAAAATCCTTTGAAAAACTGCGTATCGTTGAATTTGATATTAATCAAAACAGAAAAATTCTACCAAATCACAGTGTTTGCATGTGTATAAAAATATGAGAAAATTTGTAATTTATGTTTATTTAATTTTTTTGGATATAAACGAAATTGAAAGCAAATATCTGACCTGTAGCATTAAGCTTTCAAACTTACGGAATGTATGTTCAAACACAGAAAATGAAATGATCAAACAACGCTGCCAAATTTCGAACACAGCCGCGTCCACTCAACTCGTGCTAGAGCGCCGCTTCACTTGAACTTAATACGTTTAAACTTCAACTTAACGTTGAAGAGCTGACCGCCCAGGGTGCAAGTCCAGGCCACTGCCCCGGTACAGATAAAATCCAATAATCTTCTTATTGGTTGATTGATTACCGTTAATTTCTGGCAATTATGTCACGCTGGACTGAGCGGCCGACCCTTCGCTTATATTTGGTTCACTGTGCCTGCACCAGAGCTCGAATTATCTTGAGTTAAATGATTTATATGCTTGTGCAAATATTCATTGAGTGTTGAATTGAATGCATAGAATAATACATTTCAATAAGGCATATACAGTAATGCTAGAACAACTGCTATAATGTAATGGTTAGTTTTTATTTAACGAACATTGTTAATAACTTATATGTACATCTCATGTACCTCTCATTGTTCAATCATAGAAGCTAATATATTCTCCAATTACTATATAACTTTGGAAAATAATACCTCAGCAATTATTATAAAGGAGTGCAACTGCTTCATGCGATATAAAAGAGGATTATTCCGTGCTCAATGATTCAAGTAGCAGGAAATACACATTTATTAATTTTTTTAAAGTTACATGATGTATCTTTCTTGCATTCACGAACTACTTTTCACGAAAAATTATGGTAGCACATGGCACATGAACAAAAATATTCAGGCTAACCATGCACTAATGAAACAACAATCCCCCAATTATTGCAAGCGAGTAGATACTCTGCACGAAAAAAGCCTATAGGAAAACCGTCAACTCCGACGGGGCAAAAAACAACATCCTAAAGTGTACTTAATACGCCGCCTAAAGGCTGAAACACATCACAGTCTGGCATGATGTATTACCATGCGTACATCTCATTAATGTGCACAAACCATCTGGTACTCATGTACAACTTTGACCGCTTTAGCGTCCCACAGGAAGAGGCGATCGCACTTTGCTTCCAGCAATTCGATCTAATTAAACTGACTCTTTTTGAATGCCGCTTGGGACTATAAATGCCGTAATTAACTATGACAACTGAAGCCAATCAATTTTTTATGTGGCTTGCAGGATGTTTGTTCTTGGTGGGGCGGCAGTAATGGAAGTCGCAGTAAAGTGGACGTGTCACTTTTTTGAGCCTCGGTAGTGTTGCTCCTCGACTCTTATAATCAATGGGCAGAGCTTGAGCCCATGCGAACCGTGGCCATTGAATATGTACGTGTGTTGGGGTTATTAAATTGTTTACGAATGTAGGCAATATTCACTTATAAATTATTGTGCTGTGTATTTAAAATCTTGCAGGCTCCGATATTTTTTTAACAAAAAGTAGTTGCAAAAAATTGTCACTTAAGAGCTATAATACTCCAGTTGAACATAAGTATTTAATATAGCGCAAAACTAAAAAAGAAACAGCCCAAGAGAGAAGAACGGTGATGATTTTTTCGCAATTTCCCTTCTTCTCATTATTTGGCCCGTATAATCAGCTCAATAAAAGGTAAAAACGATGTTGTCGCCACAAATTATTTACAGTGGCAGCAGACGGGCAATATTCTGAACACTGCAAAGCCTTTACTCGACTTAAACGTCCTCACAAGTCTCAGCGCAGTACGTCTCAGTCTCAATAGTCGAGACTGAGACGTACTACGGCTGTTCGTTATCTATACTCAAGGTTCTCGCGCGAACTGTTCTCAACTTGAACTAATTCATGTGTAAATAGAGCCATAAATACAGCAACAATTATCTCGAGACAGTCGGGAGCCGAACAAGCGCACTCTAGCAAGTGGAGACGAGAAGTCAGCCAATTGACTTCAGTTTGCCCTACTTAGTGGGGTTGAGAGAATCAAATTGAATTTATTTCGAATGATGAATTCAATTGTTTTTGAGTTATTATATTGGTATTGATACTGGACGTTTTCAGACCCAGTAAAGTACAACACAAATGATAATATTCTTTGCGCTAATTATCATTTATTTAAATTATATTGAATAATTTGCAATAAACAATTGCAAATCTAAATAAAAATTATCTAAATTATCTAATAAACAATGCAATTAAATATGATATAAGGAACCCGAACTCATATGAGACTGTTATTACTGGAGACTGTACCATATTTTTGTAATGTTTCGCTTCTCTGTAACTTTTTTAATTTCACGAAGTTTTTAGCTACAATATGTAACACATATGCGTTAATCAACATGTTCACCAAGTGAGTTATTAACAATTTCATGATATGCGTAAGCTTTACTATTGTTTCTGTTCGATTTGTTCATATACATGTTTAGATCCTGCTACGATTTCATTGGTTGAAAGTTGCTGCACAGTTGTTTGATTTTTCAGTTATTCTACTTATTTACATTATTTGAGGGGATTCATTACGAAGGAATTTGTTCCTGAGCTATGGCAACAGAGTAGGGCTGTCTCACCACCACTGCAGACACCGCAGGCCAATTTACTCAGGCTATTCATTCACACTGTCTTGCTCCATAAATCCTGGCCTGGAACAACAAAGGAGGCACACAAGCCGGCTGCCGAGGTGTCTTGCATGACTTCTAAATCGGCTTCTTCGGCAAGCCTTCCTCATCGCCTTGACTTCTATATCGGTTTCTTCGGCATACGTTCCATGTCACCTTGTCTTCTATATCGGCTTCTTCGGCATACGTTCCATGTCACATTGACTTCTACGTCGGCTTTTTCGGCATACGTTCCTTATCGCCTTGACTTCTATATCGGCTTCTTCGGCATACGTTCCATGTCACCTTGAAGTCTATGCCTGCTTTTTCGGCATACGTTCCATGTCCCCTTGAAGTCTATATCGGCTTCTTCGGCAGGCCTTCCTCATCGCCTTGACTTCTATATCGGCTTCTTCGGCAAGCCTTCCTCATCGCCTTGACTTCTATATCGGCTTCTTCGGCATATACGTTTCATGTCACCTTGACTTCTATGTCGGCTTCTTCGGCAAGCTTTCCTCATCGCCTTGACTTCTATATCGGCTTCTTCGGCATACGTTTCATGTCACATTGTCTTCTATGTCGGCTTCATCGGCTAGCCTTCCGTATCACCTTCACTTGTACATGGCTCCTATACGGCAGTCCTTCAATGTCGCCTTGACTTTCAAATCAGCTTCGTCGGCAAGCCTTCCACAACAGTTTGACTTCTATATCGGCTACTTCGGCATTCGTTCCATGTCACCTTGACTTCTATATCGGCTTCTTCGGCAAGCCTTCTTCATCGCCTTGACTTCTATATCGGCTTCTTCGGCATACGTTCCATGTCACCTTGAAGTATATGTCTGCTTTTTCGGCATACGTTCCATGTCACCTTGAAGTCTATGTCTGCTTTTTCGGCATACGTTCCATGTCACCTTGAAGTCTATTCCTGCTTTTTTGGCATACGTTCCCTGTCACCTTGAAGTCTATGTCTGCTTTTTCGGCATACGTTCCATGTCACCTTGACTTCTATGTCGGCTTCTTCGGAATGCCTTCCATATCGCCTTGACTTTTTAATCAGTTTCTTCGGCAAGCCTATCATATCAGTTTGACTTCTAAATTGGCTTCTTCAGCAAGCCTTCCATATCGCCTTGACTTCGAAATCAGGCCTTCGGCTTCTTCGGCAGGCCTTCCATATTGCCTGGACCGTTATACCGCCTTTTTCGGCATGTCTTCAATATCGCCTTGAATTCTATAACGTTTCTTCGGCATGTCTTCCATATGGCGTGCCTTAAGGCCATATTACCTTGTCATCAATAACGGTTTCTTCGGCATGCCTTTCTCCGTGAATTCTACATCGACTTATTCGGAATTCTTTCCTTTTCGCTTAGAATTCTAAATCAGCTTATTCGGCATGCCTTCCATATCATCTTGACTTCAATATCAGATTCTTCGGCACGTAATTTTTCCCCCTTTTTTATTGAACGTTGCATGGTGTAATACTTATTATATTAATAATTTCAGAATTTACGGCATATAAGGCTGTTGACTTATATTTTGCATCGGCTTGCGCTAAATGCAATCTATTAGACGCAACCCATTGAATGCCCTGAAGGAGCGAGAAAAGTCTGGCCAGTCGCAAATTCTTTCAATTTCGTAACTTGTTTACGGATGAATATTAACGAGTTTTCTTCAGTAACCATAAATATTGGCCTCTGGAAACTCCCACTCTAATTCGCAGAAAGAGAGCCACAAACAAACAAGCCAGTAAGCTCGTCATCTGATAAGCGGCGCTAATTGCTCTGTGTAAAACCATTACAAAATCTCCAGCGCGTTACAGTCGATACAAGTGAAAATATTTGACAGCGCCACGACTTGCGGAATAAATTAGGAGTACCAGGGCTAAAGGGTTGTTTTCCGACGGCTTTATGGCATGGGGGTATTAGGAAATTTGCTGCTTTTATGTTCATTTTTGAGTATAGTGAGTAAATTTGAGGAACATTATTTATTAGGAATCGTTTCTGACGATCACTTTGGTGTAAAAATTAGGCAGTACCATTCAGATATCAACGTTTTCACGATCTCCTCGCAGTTGGTTTTGAAGTAAACTCTGCGAAATGTAATGAATAAACTGAAAAAGGTAAATGGGAAAAGCGTATCTTCCGGAATCCGAAAGAACTACTGTTGAATTTTGGCAATTTTGACGCGTGTTTTTATGGGTGAAAAATTGCATTCAACTCCTTTGGACATAGAATAAAATGTATGTAGAAGAAATGCAGTCTTTAGAGTTTTGCACGTAACCGAGAAATGACATCTCTGGCGTTGCATTAAAAGATCTTGACAAGTCGATAGTAATATTTTCTCCTTTAATTTAGTCGTATCAAAGCATGAGATCAGATTGATTATCATATTATTATCAGGTAAATTATTTTGTGTTTTTTTTTTTGTGTCTTTTCATTATATAATTTTCAAAGCTTACGCCCTGTGCCGAAAGAAAGGATTCCAAACGTCCATTGGTTATGTAGCAAATATCACGATATCGCAACGATTCCTATCCGGTATCTCAACATTTGTTACTAATAAGCCACATATAAAAATTTGCGATTCAATAACGTATGTTTAAATTTTATTTTTAACAGACCACCGTCTGGACAAATCCCCCCTGCTGGGGAACGGCTACCACGCGCCTCCCCACTTCAACCCCCTGCAATACATGGCACAACACATGGCAGGGTTGGGGTATCCCCCACTTCTGCCGGGTGGGTTGCCCGGTGGGCTGTCGGGTGGACTGCCGGGTGGACCGGGTGTGCCCCACCCCATCTCCCCCACAGACGGATCCCCACTCAAACACCCACCGATAAAAACTGAGACGCTGGCGAGGTGAGTTTGTTATTGGTTTTAATTTAATCATTATTTTGAATATTGTGAATAAAAATGAAATTAATAGGGGAAGAATTAACTTTACAATCCTTATGAAATGTTGAATGTTTACACATCGCGTCAATAAGTTACGTAATATGAAGTTAAAATTTAGTTACCATAGTGCACTGCATATGAAGGTAAAGTAGCGGCGTACAGTAACTGCATGGATTTACCCTACAATTGGTTTATATTTATTAAATTTTGATTCTGGAAGTACAAAATTAGATCTACCATAGAATCATTGCTAAGGGTTGAGAGTAACTTCCATATTATGTTATTGTTTAGACTTCGTTTGTAAATGTCACAATTTCTCTTTGAAACAATCCATTCGTTTGGTATTCGTTCGTGGAGTGGGGAAATAATCTATATTCTAAGATAGCAGATTTGGTGCAGGTTTTAGCGCTGAATGTCTTGTTAGCGGTAACAAGAAGCGCTTGGATTCAGACGCAACGTTCGAGCGCGGATTCGATGTCGCTTGTAATAAAACTGTGACAGGGATGTGATTAAGCTTATCAGATCATCTTCTGGAATCTAGCCTCTCGATTATTAAAAGAAATAATAGCAAATACGGGCTTCCCAGGTAACAAAAAGAACTTAAGCACGTTCTATTCAATAGTGAGAAGTTGCGTTTGTGTCTAATGAATAGTTGGCCTTTGTAATGGAGTCATATTTTAGCAAACGGCTTGCCGTATCAGCATTCAAAAGGTTCGACCATTGAAGAAACTACTAATCGGGCAACACCAGCAATTTCAATCATTCGAACTACACAAATTACGTTCGGAGGCACAATTCGGCGGCACTGCTTTTAATCTGAACGATTACTCGTGGCTGTAGCTGTGACAGGGGCGCATTTGAAGTGATTCCGGGAGACATCCAATGATTTGTAGGGAGAAGTTACGCCGCTCGGAATGTTACCTCAGGACTGATGCAGAGATGCCGATGATATCGCATTGGTCATTTAGGACTGTCGACCGCCCAATGAGGACCAAGGTAAAGCTTTATTGATGCATACATCGCATTCTTGCCGCTTCCGTATAAGGTAAAGAATTGGAATTAGCCGCATTTTTTCCTGCAGGTGATATTTGTAAAGAGAGCATTATTTGCGATGAATTTTTTTTATAATAAACGTAAATCAAGTGTATTTCGTTGGATACGTACAAATATTTCCTCGTTCAATTGTGCCCCATTTTACCGAAAAAAGTTTTAAGCTGTAATAACTTTGCTTACATTTGGTAATTGTTCGTTTGAATTACATGATCATTTGAGCTCCTATATCCATTAATGACGTAGCCGGTGAAGGAACTACAGACGTATAATACGAAGTATAAAGCTGCGTGTGCAGCGCGCCCTTAAATAAGTGTATTACTCATAGTCGTTCATGCCATTTAGACCTCAAGACAAGCAGCAGTTTGTTCCACAATTGCTGCGATTGCAGGAAGAAAAAAAAACCTGCGGGGCCATTATTCGATTGTTGCAAGTTCTGTGGCAGTGAGGTTATGGCTTCAACCTCTGCAGTAGTTGGTGCTTGTTGCGAGTTTTGTGGTGAGGCTACTTGTTGCAAGCACAGTGGTAGTTTGTGCTAGCTGCAAGTTCAGTGTTGGTTGGTACTTTTTACAAGTTCTGTAGTAATTGGTTTCTGTTGCAAGTTCTGAGGTATTTGGTACATGTTGCAAGTTCTTGGTAGTTCGTATTTGTAACTATTTTTACGGCGGTTGCTATATGCTGCAAGTTCAGCGGCAGTAGCTAATTGTTACAAGTTCTGCGGTAGTTGCTACTTGCTACAAGTTTTTTGGTAGTTACTACTTGTAGCTAGTTCATTAGATGTTTCTACTTGTTGCAAGTTCTTTGGTAGTTGCTACTTGTTGCAAGTTCTGCGGTGTTGCTACTTACTACAAGTTCTGCAGTGTAGCTACTTACTACAAGTTCTGCAGTGTAGCTACTTGCTACAAGTTCTGCAGTGTAGCTACTTACTACAAGTTCTGCAGTGTAGCTACTTACTACAAGTTCTGCGGTGTTGCTACTTACTACAAGTTCTGCGGTGTTCCTACTTACTACAAGTTCTGCAGTGTAGCTACGTGTTGTCCGTGCGCGGCAGCCGGAGGTGTCATTGCAATAGTTTATGTTGCTAAATTGTACGTTTGATCGGCAACACGACGGTCATTATCCCTGCCATTGCCCCCCATGTCCATTAGTGGGGGTTTCGCCCCTGTGATGATGAATCATAGTCAGCACTCACTATCATTGCCATGAGATTATGTTGTGCTTATGGCCGTGTGCCGAACTCCATCAGTGCGCACGGCCGTATAACACGATGTGTTCGTAATCGTGGGGGTCTGGATCGCGTGAATGTTTGGTTGATTTGTTTGTAATGCAGTACGAGTTATATTTGTGAAAGAGTTAATGTTTTGTACTGATGCACGAGTTACAGTTGTGATCGTATGAATATTCGGTACTGAATGACTAGTTATACTTGTGATCGTGCAGTCTGAAATCGAGTGAAGTTTTAATCGTATGGAGTTTGATCATCATTTATTTACTTTATACGTGATTACCAAAATGCGTGAACCAAAATCCGTGTGTCACATGGCGTCCTAAAGTTGGAATAGAATGAAATATTTACGCACCGTCTGTTCTGTATAATTCCATTAAATTTTCCGTTCCGCAACGATAACATAAGCAGAACAACAACGATGACAATGACAGTACATAATATATTAAATTTTTCTCCGAAAATTCGTACTAACGATATTGAAGATATAAAATAGCGAACTTGAAATGTGAAATGAAAAGAGAACGTCCTGGATGTTTGGTTAGACATATTCATGACTCACCTCCTAAACGTAATCTTTGTACCATGGACGGATAGAAACGTAAAACGAACATACTCAGGGATAATTTACTTTATAACGACACCTCTTCTATGTTGTGACAGGTTAAAGGTTATGTTTATGTTGTAAAGGTTAACGAGTAACTTGTCCAACCTTTTATTTATCTGTCAAATCCATCAACAGCTATAAGCGTTGTAAAGTTATCCTGGAAGTTAGAGAGTTAGAATCATGCCATGACGAGTTGTGTGTGGGCTTTATGTATGCAATGCAATGACTATGGCTTGTAGGTGTGGCTATTCTGGTATAAGCGTTGTAAAGTTAACCTGGAAGTTAGGGAGTTGGAATCATGCCAGGACGAGTTGTGTGTGGGCTTTATGTATGCAATGCAATGACGATGGCTTGTAGGTGTGGCTATTCTGGTATAAGCGTTGTAAAGTTAACCTGGAAGTTATGGAGTTAGAATCATGCCAGGACGAGTTGTGTGTGGGCTTTATGTATGCAATGCAATGACGATGGCTTGTAGGTGTGGCTATTCTGGTATAAGCGTTGTAAAGTTAACCTGGAAGTTATGGAGTTAGAATCATGCCAAGACGAGTTGTGTGTGGGCTTTATGTATGCAATGCAATGACGATGGCTCGTAGGTGTGGCTATTCTGGTAGTGAGTACAAAGTATGTGCTCTTGAAGTCTGTAAATCAAGCGGTGGCAATTACACTCGGTCACGAAGCCTGGCTCCTGCTACGGAGATCTAAGGCGAAGTAGTGGTGGCCACTCATGGCCGCCGAATAAATACAGACTTGATCTACAAATAATAAGTGTTAGTTTTTCTTGCAATAAATCGAGCGGTATTTTTCGTTGACGTTGGTATTTCGTAGCTCCATTTAATTTTAAAATTAATGTTATCAAATTTGAAACATCGACAATACACGGATTTGCTGTTTGAAAAATGAATCGAGCGGTATTTTTCGTTGACGTTGGTATTTCGTAGCTCTTTTTGATTTGAAAATTAATGTTGTCAAATTTGAAACATCGTCAATACATGAATGTGCTGTTTGGAAATAATTTGGGTTAAAGCGGTCACATTTGAAACATCGTCAATACATGAATGTGCTGTTTGAAAATAATTTGGTTTAAAGCGTATACATAAATACATTACAAATGCCTTTGCAACTGTTTGCACATATAGGTTAATTTTTCTACTATTCCACAAAGATTAACAACCCAATGTTTTTCTGTATATCGTGATGAATTTAAATTTTCTTCTCAGTTTGGTGGTCATAAAATTTGGAACCGGACTGTTTTACATGACATTTTAAATCCATTGTAATGGCTATATTTATTCAATAATCTCATGCAGGAAATAAATGGCTGCTCGTGAAAATAAATTTGACGATTCCCAGCAGCATTCATTAACAAATATTCAAATGCAGCAAAGATAGGCCAAGTATACGCATGTAGCTGAAGGTTGTTTACGCGTGGGTAGTTGCCCAACGCGCATCGTGAAAACAAATTTGGCCATTCTCAGCAGCATTCATTAACAAATATTCAAATGGTTCAAAGATAGGCCAAGTATACGTATGTAGCTGAAGGTTGTTTACGCGTGGGTAGTTGCCCAACGCGCATCGTGAAAACAAATTTAGCCATTCCCAGCAGCATTCATTAACAAATATTCAAATGGTTCAAAGATAGGCCAAGTATACGCATATACTGTAGGTTGTTTACGCGTGGGTAGTTGCCCAACGCGCACCTAACATTTATACGCAACATTTATAACTGTTAGGCTTAGTGGGACTCGACGTAGCCCACAATTAGGAAGCGGTACTGAATACCCACCGTGTGCACGAGTGAGAAGAAGCTTCACTCTTCAATAGCGATCTGATTTACAATTCCGGTAGAAATAACACTAGAGTACATGGCCCAATTTTTAGGTAAAAACAGACATTGAAGCCAAAATGAAAGCTAAATGCCTGACCTTTGAGGAGCTCAATTATTGGGGTAGGATGTAATTGAGTATATATATTGAGTAAGATATTCTTCAATAGAACATTTAATATTCAATGTCAGGGTGAATTAGGAAGTGATGGAAGCTGAACAATTGTTATTTTTTCCCCATTTCATTTCTGAGTATCTTCTGGTTAATTATATAATCCGCGAAGGCGTTAATCAATACGTTTTTGTGAAGGAGAGTGAAAATAATTAAGTTATTCACCCTTGCAACACCGTTCTGTATATGCCGTTATATGCCACCACTCCAGCTAAGATCGCTCACATGCAACGTGATATTTCAGACTAAGTTTATCCTTGAAGAAACCCGGCTGCGGTGAAAGGAATACCACTGAAGCGTGCAGAAAAAATTCAATCGAATTTCTCAATCGATAAGCGTCTTCCATTTTGCAATCAATCATTGTTGAATGGCGAGCATCGGAGGCGCAACAATACGGTGTGATGTTGGCTGCGACTGATCAATATTGGCACATTGTGTTACTGCATCAACGAGTTGCTGCCGGCTGCCTGTCTTCATCTATTTCTTAGACGTCAAAGTCCCCGGCAAGGAAAAAATCGCCAGAATGAAGGCCCCAATCTTCGATTAGAGCGCCACCAGATTCTGCAGGCCTTACATGCATGCAACACTAGAAGCAACAGCTATACCAGTGAAATGTTCATGGATACATTTAATGTTTAGCTTTATACCTCAAAATCAGCGGTCCACATACAGTTTCGTTATCAAGGTAACGATTGTTTAAATTTAAAGAAGCTAGAATAAGCAGTCCAGATACAGTATCGTAGAAGATAAAACCATTGTTTAAATTTATACCTCAGAATAATCTGTCCAGAAACAGTATCGTTATCAAGATAAATCCATTTAAAGAAAGCTGATTTTGGGGTATAATCTAAATTTTTCTCTCTATTTATAATCATTGTTATGGTCAAAATAGATCGCAAAAATTGAAATAAAGCTCTAAGTCTCCTGCACCTTCACGAATAAATTTGTAACACAATCTGCTATTTTTTTGAACCCTTGAACCATGGATAAAGTTCCTGCAAAAATTGCAATATGCAAAAAACATCTCTGAAAGGAGCCAAAAGGCAGCTCCTTGACACGGTTGACAGTTTTGCAAGATGTCAGCCTTTTGTTTGGTAGTCGCGACCGCGCGCAACCGAAGAATGGCACAGAAACTGAGCCCTTCTTCTCGTCATGACAAAAGAGAAGAGGCACGTGTACGAGGGAGCTCAAAAGCCTCAACGAAAGGGAATGATGGACCTTAAGAAGATTAGGCTCGCATTATAATCAGTCGTGTTTTACTCTCATTGTGCTCTGTGCCGGCTTTTCGCTTCTTGAAATTAACGCAGATTTCTTCGCTTGATGTTTTCCGATATTTTGTGAACTCTGTGAGAATATCGTAGTCTTAATAGTCATGAATTGTGATATTCGTTACAGCCTCGCGTACAACATGTATGCGGCGCAATCCAAATTATGATCATCAAGGATTTTGCTTACAGAATTGAACCTTTCTATAATTAATGTCAAAAATCATAATTTAATCGTTTTTCTCCTCTTTTTGGATATATTCCTTAATAGAGACAAAAATTTCTCCCTGTTACAGAATCCACGAAGAACGTCTAGAGCGCGAACGCCAGTTGTCCAATGACCAACGCCGTGGAAGTCTTCCTCCTACTTTCACACCCACTTCCTTGGGATCGTCCACTTTGCTGCAACATCACCTCCACCAACAGCAACATCTTTTCCAGCAACATCAGTTGCAACAGCAACAGCAACAACAGAATAAGCTACACTCGGTTAGCGCTCCCTACACTCCTACGTCACTCATTCCACCCTCTACATCTTCTCCCACACCCCCCACGTCTTCCGCTAATTCAACAGTATTAGACGATGCTCATGATCCACACGGCTCGGCGTCGAGTCAAGCACAGCAGCATTCCAACAACAAGGATTCCGATATGAACAATAGATCTGCGTCCAGCAGAAACGGGTCTCCGATTCTAAATTTATCCAAAGTTGACGAAGTCACGGGGCAGGATGAGAACCGTGCGCAAGATCGTCTCGACACGATCAGTCACGACTCGGAGCGAGCCATGCACGATGATGACGATAGACAACAACAAAGCTCGTCTCGAGACGAAGAAAGGCTGTCCGAAATGGATGATGATGATATCGATAAAGATGAATGTAAGTCGTCTAAAGATATTAGAATGAAGATATTTAAACTTGTTTCTCGGTAGATATTATCTGATGTGTCATCCATGATGACATCTATAAAGAGGAAGGTTGAGAATCGTTTTCCATAGTATATGAAATTATATAATTTATTACAAGGATGGTAATGTTAGAAATATCGTATCTTTTCCCGTTATTTCTATTTATTTTTCCTGATTAGTCCTGTATGACGGATATGGTAGTACTGATGGTCTTGGCTTGAGAGATTGTTTTTTTTCTTTGAATATAAATTATAAATTGCACTCAAAAAATAATATTTTGTTTTTACGCTCAATATTCAGCCATGGACACCCTCGACATGTGGGGGCGGTCTTCGAGTACCCCGGGCCAGACCCAACTGGGCCCGTCCCCCATCAGCTCCATGATCCCCCCCGTGGGGCTGCTAGGGTCAGCCCCGTTGTCCTCAACTGAGGTTCTGCTGAGGAATATTTTGGGGCTACTTAGAGTGGCTGAGGAGAACGCCCGCCATCATGAGAGGAGGACGCAACACGAGAAAGGTGAAAAGATCTATTGATTTTGTTGATATTTTCCTATATTTCTAATTCATTTGCAATACCTGCATGATTTGTGCCTAATTTTTTAATTTTTTAATTTAAGACACAACACCGAAAGGTGAGAAGATCTATTGAACTTTGTTGATATTTTCCTATATTTCTAATTCATTTGCGATACCTGCATGATTTGTGCCAAATTTTCTGCGATTGTGGGGAGATGATGCATATACTCGTTTATTTATTTATTCATAAATAATCGTTCATGTGTTTAAATAATTTAAAAGCTGATAAACTGGGAAGAAAATAGCATCTTTTCAGCATTAGGTTTTAAAAAAGTAACGATGCTGGACGGTTTTGCAGATGATAAAATTATCTAAAACCATGTTTTGAAGAATAACTTTTTCTCTTGTCATAACTTTTGGTACAGACAAAGAACAATTTTCCCCAAAAATTAATGGAAAATAATTTCATGTCCATTACTCTAGTAATAATCAAATAAATAGATTAATTTCTTTCATATTAATACTGTCAATATTTACCATTAAGAATAATACTGCGACTACAAACTAATCACATTTCATTGCAATGTTCAACAGCTGAGCTAAAAATGGAGGTATTGCGTGAACGAGAAATGAGGGAGTCTTTGGAAAAGCAGCTTCAGGAAGAACACAAAAATCGAATCCTGATGCAAAAACGTTGCGCTAAACTCAAGAAACTGCGCCGACGCTTGCAAGAACGTCTAGACTTGGAGGTCGTGCAACGGAAGCGCAAAGAGGGAGATGCCGGCCACACCGACTCTTCAGAGGCTATGGCAGAAGCCAATGGTAAGACGGGAAAATGTTTTTATATTATCAATAATTTTTATATAGTAGGTTATTGTAATATTACTGATAGCTACAGTCGTCTTGAAATGCTGGCCATACCGACTCTTCGGACGCTATGGCAGAAGCCAATGGTAAGACGGGAAAAAGTTTTCATATTGTCATTGATTTTTATATATAGGTTATTGTAATATTATTGGTTACTACATTCGTCTTGAGATACCGGCCATACCGACTCTTCAGACGCTATGGCAGAAGCCAATGGTAAGACGGGAAAATGTTTTCATATTGTCATTGATTTTTATATAGTTGGTTATTGTAATATTGATCACTACAGTCGTCTTGAAATACCGGCCACACCGACTCTTCAGACGCTATGGCAGAAGCCAATGGTAAGACGGGAAAATGTTTTCATATTGTCATTGATTTTTATATATAGGTTATTTTATTATTATTGGTTACAACAGTCGTCTTGAAATGCCGGCCATATACCGACTCTTCGGACGCTATGGCAGAAGCCAATGGTAAGACGGGAAAATGTTTTTATATTGTTATTGACCGTAATGCAGTAAGTTATTGTAATAGTATTGATCACAACAGTCGTTTTGATATCCTTTTTAGTAATTAGACAACTGTTATTGGATGTAATACTGCCGGAATAATGATGTGATTTGAGGATCAGCAATTGAGATAAAGGAGGAATATAATAACGCCAAGGGAAATGGCCATTCTTTCTTATATTGTAGGAATAATTAGAAGAATGTATGAGTAGTCATTGATATACAGGATGAATAAATTAGATGCCGAAACGACTGAAGCAAATTGAATTTGCTTTCAAATTGAATTTGTTGAGGAAATTGAATTTCCAGAAAGTTTTCAACCTGAGCATTGAGCTATTGTTGCCATTAGTCGAAATTGAATAAATATTTGCCAATTAGTTAAAATCAATTAATTTTTATCAAAATGAACGCTTGTTAAATAAATATTCGAATGCTTTAAAGTTATATCAATATTCATTCAGATGATTTTCAAACACAACAACATCGGTTTATTATAAAATGAAATATCAAATTTCTATCAAGCGATATCATGTTACTAATGGTAAATTGCCAATAAAATCAATAATAATTAATGGCAACGTATCATAACAATAAAGTTCGAGCAACAAAGACTAATCCCTAGCAACAGTCACTAATCCCACTGTCACCAATCACTAATCACTTGGAGCAATACTTATCTCTAGCAACAGTCACTTATCTCAACAGTCACCTATCCCTAGCAACAATCACTTATCTCTAGCAACAGTCACTTATCCCTAGCAACAATCACTTATACCTAGCAACAATCACTAATCCCACTAGCAACAATCACTAATCCCACTAGCAACAGTCACTTATCCCTAGCAACAGACACCAATCCCTAGCAACAGTCACTTATCCCTAGCAACAATCACTTATACCTAGCAACAATCACTAATCCCACTAGCAACAATCACTAATCCCACTAGCAACAGTCACTTATCCCTAGCAACAGACACCAATCCCTAGCAACAGTCACTTATCCCTAGCAACAGTCACCTATCCCTAGCAACAATCACTTATCCCTAGCAACAATCACTAATCCCGCTGGCAACAGTCACTTATCTCTAGCAACAGTCACTTATACCTAGCAACAATCACTAATCCCACTAGCAACAATCATCTATCCCTAGCAACAATCACTTGTACCTAGCAAAAATCACTAATCTCACTAGCAACAATCACTTATCTCTAGCAAAAATCACTAATCAATTGGAGCAACAATGACTAATCCCTAGTAGGACCTTCCTCGTGTATCATGATAATAATAATAATAATCGAGCAACAATGACTAATCCCTAGTAGGACCTTCCTCTTCTCCATCCGCAGACTCGCTACGTAAGGAAATCGACGCCCTGACGTCGGACTTCCAGCAGGACGGACTACAGGCTGGAGACGTGCTGCAGGGCCTGGCTAAGGAGTCCAGCGATCGTCTCATGGTCGCACCTGGTCTCGTAGCCGCCACTAGTGTTGGCTCCTGGCGATAAATTTAAATTAATGATTATAATCGAATGTAATTTGGTGATGCATTATGTAATTTTATTTTGCTAAGTGTGGTGAAAAATTTTATTTGACAACATTCACGTCTCATGGTCGCACCTGGTCTCGTAGCCGCCACTAGTGTTGGATCCTGGCGATGAATGTAAATTACTGATTATAATCGAATGTAATTTGGTGATGCATTATGTAATTTTATTTTGCTAAGTGTGGTGAAGAATTTGACAACATTCATGATCAGAAGTTATAAAAGTTTAATACTATATGAAGAAATTTAATTCAAGAATGTATTGCGCAAAAAAGTTCCTTTTTGCTCCGTGTGGTGAAGAATTTTATTTGACAACATTCATGACAAGTTATTAATTTGCTATGGATTTAATATCTTCATTAATCTGTTGGAGATTAATATCAAATTAATATTTATAATAGTAAAAGAAATGGCGAAGAGTTATATCTACATCTATCACTTATCTTCAGATGAGAGTTGGAATATAAAATAATAGATTTAAAAGATTTTCAGTGACTATCATGAGATATATATCAATACCATCATGAAAAGAATTAAATACCATCGGTGAAATTCGAACTTTATTTTGGACAAAAGTCGATGCCATCGTTAAAATTTTGTCCGAAAAACATGTAGACATTAAAAAATATCGCTGAATTATAAATATGAATTTTAACTCTCTTAAAGTGAAAATAACAAAGACTGAATAATGGATTGACACACTACATGATTGCCATTTTTCACATCGACAAAAGTTTATTCATTGCAACATTCAATGTATTCATTTGTCATATTGTGGTGAACTTTAATTTATTAATGTTTGTGTATACGAGGGACAATTTACTAGCTGTCTTTTGTAAAGTTTAAAGCACTTTAATCGAGTCGCAAGTAATGGCTCGTTTTATTGTACTAGATTATCGTGTCGATATTGATCTGTTTTGTATAAAACGTTAGTTATAAATTTCAAATAGCAAAGGCTTCATACCGGATTTCTTTATGGCTATTGAACAAACTCTCGCGACTTAGCTTTAATAAAAAATTTAACTAAATTAAACATGCCTCATTTGTAATTATGACCATCAAATAGTTATCACAAATGTTTATTTCGTCAAATTGTCTTGCCACATTTAGTAGCTGGCATAATGTACTCTATTTATACATACTAACAACTTACTATATGTAGTGTATATATTATGAACTATGTAGGTATATAGTTTAATTCGCAATATTCATCTACAGGTCTTATAGTACGCGCATATTATCGTTTTGTGATTAGTTAATATTCAGTAACCCAGGAAAATCATTTATAGAAACAGACTAATTTGATGGAACTTTGAAAAGCTCGGTGTAGTATGTGCCAGTGTATATATATTAAATATATTATTTAAGGGAAAACGAGCATTGTATGTAAATATACCTAACTGTAAGATGATTAACTTTAGAAGTGAAGTTTTAGTAATGAAAATGTGGCTAGAGAGTATAGGAATTTTGAGTTTTCGAGCATGCAAGTTTTTCTGAAAACAAAATTGCAAATCTACTTATGGAAACTTGAATTTAAATGAGGAATAAAGGCAATTAAAAAAACACAAGGAAATACTCTTTGTGTCAAATTTCAATAGGAAAATTTATCGAAGAATTTCGGAAACCGTAATATTTTGAATTTCCATAATAATTTACACGACCAAACCATTCAGTTTCAATTTTATTTTTGCGGACACGAAACTAAAATTCATAATGGGCATTAGTAAAGGAACTTTCATGTGGATGATATTTTAATTTCATATGCATTAATTTTTTGACACTAGCAGCATAGGGTCTCACATATTCAATCAGTATATTTACGAAAAATTAAATATTAAATCTCTGATTGATGACTTTTCCTTGATTTCATTCTATTAACAATTTTTCAATATGAATTCAGTGTAATTACTCATGTGAACTCAAGTCGGAAATTCTCTGAATTAATACGTTAAACAAGGATACACGAGTTATTTCTCCCTATTGTCATGCATAAATTACCCCAAAATTTGTAGGTACAAAGATTGAATCTTTTCTACTTAGCACAAGAGCTACGAAGAATAAAGTTTCTCTTTGAAAAATTCGAATTGAATTCGTTTGAATTCAAATATATCTGAACTAGACTGTTTACATTTTTTATAACCCTTAAATCAGTTTGAAAATTCTTAAAATTCTTAAATTTTTATATATTGTACAACAGGAAGTTTAATATAGTTATATGATCGATTAGTGTGGAAAAACAGTTCATAAGGTATCAATTACTTCGTGAAATTAGTTTAAAATGGGCATAATTTTTCTCCTGAATAAATTTCTTTTTCTATGCTCAGTTTTGGATGAATGAATTGATGAATAAATCGAACAGATCTCATCTGTATTCATTTCCTATTGAATAATTATTAACTTGTACAAACTTAATGGAATCTTGTCTTACATACTAAATTCGATCGTAATTTATTTATGTATGTAATACCCTGTAGATATATTTCATACTCATCATTGTGTAATTTCCAGCGAAGTCGTTCGCTCTGTCTGTGTGGTAAGAGGACATTAAGTTCAAATTGTACGTTATAGTTGTGAGTGATGTCAAGTTGTCCTTCAAAAAACTTAAGTTTTTGTGTAATAAAATCCTCTAAAAAAATACCATTGTTTTTTTCCAGAAAGAACGTTAGTATTCAACCAAGGAAGTCTTTTTTGTCAATTTCAAAGACGTCGAAGGATTGCGATTATTATGAAAACATGTAGGCGTATTAAATTCAAAGTCTTTTATTGCATTACTTAAAAAATGAATTATTCATCAAGATAATTGGTTATTTCCAATTATATAAAAAGTTCCAAATCGATACAATAGGGGGCACTGGATTCATTTTTTAACATTGTTTCTGAATCGACAACTTCAATAAATATACAATACAATACAATTATACGATAGCAGGATTGACAAAATAGTCGATCCTGTTTATACACATAACAAAGAATTGGAAAAATTAAAATGGCTAACAATTCACTTTATTTTAAAGATTAAATTCAGATAGAAGAGCTAAGCAGACACAAAATCAATCATTGGCACGACATTTTCTGCGACTGAAGCCGCGCTGCGTGCGGCTACAATTATCACGATCGCCAGCGTCAAATAATAAAACAAGAATTATTTAGAGCTATTTTTTCACTTCATGTTGTTCACTAATCACTGCGATTTAGATTTAGCTCAATATTCAAGATGTTTTCGTGCGTTAAGTTTCTTTATTTATAAATAATGGTGACCGCAAGTGCTGGGCGTGGGGGCTCTCATTACATGTCCTATGGCATCCCTATCAAAAATTCAAATCGATTTGGTTATGTTAAATTGACTATCATCTGATAATTATTGATTATTAGTTCATTTTGATGTAAATATACTATCCATGATTTGAAATTCTGTAAAAATTATATTTAATTTCTTATATTCAAACTGCATTAACTGGTGTAGCTGAATATTAAATGGTCCCAATGTGCACTGCTGATAAATATAATTAATATCAATGTTTTCTAAATACCAGTTCATATATACACTCCAAATTCGTATAGTTAATCTAACGTCTATCAATGACGATATTACGAATACAATGAGTTGCACGGGAGACTCAAAAGTACACAATTAGAATTAGAATTGGAACAAAAACTAACTATACAAATCCATAAGCTAGGAAACCGATAGATTATTGAAAGTTTGCAATATTTTAAGATTATACATTTTCGTCCGTATAATTCGTATTAATTTGTTTCTAATAGACCTGTCCTGCTATTTACGATAAATTTTTGAGTAATTTGTTTGTACGAATCGGCATAATAAAATATTATAGAAAAATGATTTTTCATGAATGATATGATTTATTTCATGTAATTAACTTACGTACAGGCACCGTACATGCATGTTCGGGGCTGCTTCTCAGTTCAGGGAACAGGATAACTTCATTTATTTCCCACAAGCACGGCAATGAATGCAGTTTGGTACGAAATATTTCTGATAGAAGAAATGATTACATTAATTAACAATCAGTTCCATGACCGAAATTGCATTTTCCAGCACGATGATGCTCCTTGTCTTAGTGTCAGTGAGATCAATTAAAGTATTAATTTTTTTTAATAATTTTTTTATTTTACTATTAAAGAATTGACACCATGGCTTGGAAATTCTCCAGATTTGAACCCTATCGAAAGTTCATGGGCCATTCTCAAAGAGGGTAAACATAAGAAGGTAAACACAAGCCAACTTCTGAAAAGGACTTACAGGATTTGATTTTGCATGAATGGAACTCTATTGATAATAACCTCATACAGAAATTGATTTATATCCTGCCTAAGATAATAGTAGAGGTTCTTCGTAATAGGGGTCAGCATTGCAAATATTCATACCTTGATTAAATTTGTCATAATTTAAATTTTTCGTGTGAGATTTCGTTCGTGATAATTTTTTCCTTTTTTTTCTAAAAATAAATATTTGATTGATCGTGATTTCATTTGGACTTCATAATTCAATAATCCAAAATATATCAATTGCGACAAATGTTTTGGCTACGACTGTATGAGCTGCATATACATATGTGCGCATCTTCAAGAACTACTTGATGAAAAAACTCAAAAGCATGGGACAAAATAAAAGTCATCAGCCATGCATTCTTAATCACATGAGAAGCAAACAGGAAGTAAAAAAAATTATTCTGGTTCCGAAAAGTTTCACATGGAATGCTTTAAACCGAGAGTTTCCGCGCATTCCGGCTAAAGCGTAAAATGGAATTACGTCCCATCTCTGCATCCTTCACGCACGACGCGATTCCATCTGGGCATCTCGTGCACACTATCCTGGGGATAAACTGTATTCCATCCCACTGTTAAATGAGCATCCACTCGGTGCTATTCACTTAATAAAACCTTTAATACAGCCATCAACTCTACTCGGAACTGCTCATTGCTTAGCGAATCTCTAATACAATCACAAGGCCAACATGCTTTGAATCGGAACGAAATGTTGGTACAGACCGTGGGTCTCAAGAGTGATCGCTGCGGGTTGATCACTGGGGAG